CCGGGCGATGAATTAATAATTATACTAATTAAAGAATCCTGCGCTCTAATGCATCCTTTCAAACCACCTACTCAATATTACTGCCCCTTATCTGATCCTCTTCTTAAGAATCTTTGAACGTTCGGGGATGAATAGTAATCGATTTGTAATCATTTATTATTACTTTTTGTCGAATTCAACTCCACGGATCGCGTGCGTTTGGCGCGCAAAAAAGGGCCAGAGGTCGAGGGCAATTCGATCGCAGGAGAAAACGAATTCATCAATGAGAACCTCGAAGAATCAGCGTGCGGTGTAGCAGAGCAAGATATACGTGCTCTGGCTGGGCTACCGGTCGATCGGGTCGGGTCGCTGTTCTGTGCTTCATCTTTCTCTTTTACTCTGTTTTTCTGTACCTCCTTTTACCCTCCTCTTTTCACCTTCCCGGAGTATCCCGCTCGCTAACCCTTTCCACCTTCCTCTACCTTTCCTTCTCTTCCGCCGCTACTCTCACTCCGCACAGTTGTTGTCCGACTGTTTTATTACTTTTATAAATGCCGCCGCCGATGTGGCTACCACTGCCACCGCCACCGCCACCGCCGCCGCCGTGGCGGGCATTTCCTTTGTTGGGGCACCATGGCCCATTGTTGCTCGCAGAAAGATGCGAATTTTAATTCGATATTGTCTAATATTATTTATGTATGCACGCGCTAGAGAAGTTGACCATTTCAAAGCGTTCTCTTGCACACCCTTGTCGCCCTGCTGCCGCTTCCTCCACGCGAAACCGAACCGTTTGTATCGCGATGAATCGACTGCTGCGCCGCTCTCAGGCTTGCGCCCTGAACGCCTGCACGTTTCGTCTAAAGACTGTATTTTATGGAGATATATGCGTTGTTTGGCCCTGGAAAGGCTGAGCAAGCTTGCCGAGACTACCACTCAGAAAATATATTATTTCTCCTGTTTACCATCTTTCAAAAATTCTATGTGTACCGTATAAACAAATTTCTGTCATTCCCGAAATTGATAATTAATTCGCCTCGAACAAAGCTAATTTATCTGAAAACCGAGACTCCGACGAATAAGCTATTATCGCGTATCCACGATGAGGGTTGTTTTAATCCAATTTAAACGACAATTAATTACCGCCAAGTGTTCCCTCGACAGAAGTGGTAGGACTTGCGCGTACGTGGTCGCTCTACCTGGAAATCAATATCAGCCGACATCCAGGTTCACTTGGATCTGCAGTCACAACAGGATGCGCAACAGTTGCGTCCGAACGAAAGAGAGGGAGGGATATAATCGTGGCTGATTTTATTGTTTAACCCGACAACCGATTGAAAACTTCTCGCAACCGTCGTTGTACGGGAGATCATGTAAACAACTGGAGCAAAGCGTATCTAACTTGGAGAAAACCATTCGGCCGAGGAATTCGATATGAACGTCCACCAGTCCAGGGAACTGGGTGCTACGAGATGCAACGTATATCCAGGATAAACGTGCTGTGAAGAGAATTCAGTTGCAATATTTCATCAATATGTCAGAGAAACGCATTTCATTGGGCATCAACGTCAGCATCCTTGTGATTCTAACGATATTCGGAGTGCTACTGTCTTTGCCACTGCGATTGTTGTTGAACACCAACTACGGTAGAAATCAGACTATCTGTGAGAATAATACGATAGAGGCAACGGAAAATGTAACGAGTATCGAGCCGATTGTTCCATTGGATCATCGAAGATTGAAACGTTGCCCGAAATTGCCGTACGAGGATCGTTTGAAGTCGGTTTTTCGTTGCGATTACGACGGAAATTGTACCTACGTTTCTCTCGTGAAGAATGATTTAAAGGAAATTAATAGACAGAAGACGATCGAGGAAGCCGAGAAAACTTCGAAGGTCTCGAAGGAGGTTATCGATGAAAATTTATCGGAGAACACGGAGGAAAGTGTGAAAGATCATCGAATGAAATCGGTCCCGGTTGCTGGACACATTCTCGTCACGATGCTTCTAATTTCAGCGATCGCTGCTCTCGTTGAAGTGCTGAGAATACGTTTCGCTAGAGACAAGGTATTTCAGCGGAAACTATTCTTGCTTTTTTATTATCATCTTGATCAACACACGCCTCATGATATCTCGAATTACGCTTTTTCGTGTTAGAGTACACTTGTAATTGAAATTAGAATATGTTTGCCTATTGATTTGTCATAGTATTCCAAATTTTGAAACAAATTAAATTGTAGTTAAATTGATTTATATTTTTATAATCAGAGCGTACAAGAAATGAACCTAAGCATTTAGAATAAATATATCTCTACGAAATCACACAACATAACTCTCAGTTCAACGAAAAGAACTCACTTCACGATCTCCATAATAAATACACCACTTTAACAGATTACATTTTCATAATTACAGTCAAGAAAACAGAAACTATCGTTTCGCAATATTACTAAACCACACAAAAAAGACACTTCTAGAACTAGAGCCCACATGTTACATTAAACAAATACCAAAAAAATAATACAACAACAACCCCTATATTATCAGCCAGAAACATAATCATCAAAACAATTGAAACGTTACACTGATCGACTAACAAAACGATTTCATTCTATGCCACTAAACAACGACACGAGTTATACGAACATGTGCATATATTTTTAAAAAAACGCATAAGGACTCGTCTAAGGCAGGTAGTGCCAGCTCAAGGAAAACGTCCACGGTCGAGCTTCCCGTTCAGAGGCGGTTCATTCCAAGGCAACCAATGAGGAGTCAGAGGTCATTCGAAATACAAGGCATGCATCGATCCGCTTTACGCCTATTAGGTAGCATATAATTAGATCAGCATGATCGTCGAGTACAAGAAACGCACGTAAAACGGATGTACTAAATCGAACCGTAGGTGCGAAACCACCGCCACTTATTCGTCGCTCGTCCTTCCCAACGCAACCCTCTAAGCAAAATTCTGCCTCGTTTAGTGGCACCCCGAACAATTGGATATCACGTCGGCAATCAGCTGAATCCGACGAAGAGATCGGACTTCTTATTAGTGCACTTCATCATCGTACACGTCTGATTCGACGGCATTAAGGTAACGCGACAATTGTATCACGTCGTCATAGATAAACAGTCAGAGATGATTTCATGACATAAAAGTTGTATAAAATAGCACTTGTGGCATAGCAAATTGAAGCTTGGAGCTTCATAAAAATGATCGCTTAATTATACTTATTTCAGTAAGGTCAATCAATCGAATTCTTTGAAAATTTATTCGCGTTAGCACCAACAGGGTACCCGTCTGAGACCAACTGGTAAGTGATTTGTACTAAAAATTTTCTATCATTTGCTTTGGAAGATAATTACTATGAAGCTATTTGTTAGGTTTTATGCATCGCACAACGATCTTGTTCACGATATTTTCAAAGATTCTTAGTATTTCGTGAACCCACCATCCAACTGGACTTCCACGAAATCGTTGTTTCTTCCAGTTCGTATTTTTCAACTCTGACAACTTACTAGAGACTTAATTAAGAAAGAACCGTCTAAAAGTTTTCTTGTTACTAAGATACGTAATAAGGCTGTATGCTAAGTTTTCACAGCACTCGTGACTTCAATGATTTCCATCCCCCATATAAGGTAATTTTTATTTCTTATAAAATTAAATCTCATTAATTAACGTAAAGTAACAGTGTAATTTTTTTTCTATTTTAGATAACACGTCCGTAGACTCTACGTGTCATTAGATAATTGCAAAGATTCGTAATAGCAAATGCAACAACGCTTGCACATCCTTGCTTCTCCATGTTTCTTTCATAATATAATAATATAAAACGGTCGTGTAAAAGTATCGATAAATGAGTGTATTTTCGGAAGAATTATAAATTCTTTGAAGCGTATTTTCATAAAAGTTCTCACACCGTTTTGAGCAGCGAACACTTTAACACTTCTGTGATCATTATCGTGTATTATGTGATATGTACAACGTTAATTATAACTTGTGAAATATATATGTACATATATTGATGTTCAATAAATAAATTCTTTCAAACTCTAGCTACTCATTTCATAGACTATATTCTTAGATTGTATGTTTTTCAAAATGTAACGCAAATATTAATTAACACGTTGATTGCCATAGTGAAAATGAACATTTTTTATGAGACATATTGAAGCTCTAATTATTAAGAATGAGAATAGTCAATTTTCAAATTTCAAGCTTTCTATTTACTGTTTAACATTATTTGTACAATAGCAATATTATTTGAAATACTATGTTTCTATTGTTTTCTTTTAATTATTTAAATATATATAATTTTGCAACGCCGGTTACCGGTGAATTCCATGGCATTCAACGTGTTAAAATATTATAATTCAAGTAAGTACTTACCTTGGGGTACATCTTGGAAGAGTCTAAGGAGAATCAGGAAAACCAGGAACAGCCAGGAAGATCCAGAGAGATACAAGAAGAACCAGGAAGATCGAAGGAGATGTAGGAAAATCCAGGAAGATTCAAGGAAAACCAAATATGGCTGCCAGATTCTTGAAATTAAAGAACGAATAGGTTGTAAAAAATATGTAGGGTTATGAAATATTTTATCAATTGCAACAACTCAATAACACGTATATTAAAAGTTTTATAAGTTCTCGTATTATAATGTAACATAAATCATTACTTTTTTCCAATTAAATCATTCAAAACGTGTTCGAAACGAAATTTTCAAATATGGAGTAGCAACGAACGCGAACCTATTATGTATTCAAACATAAGATCGTTCTGTTGCACGAAATTCTTTCGTTTATGCAAAACTTATAAGAAATTACTAAAGTACTTCAAAAGTACTTCAATTTTATACCTTTCCTTCGTAATTCTGTTGCCTCTAAGCTTCTACAATTGTAATTTTTGTCGGAGGTTTGTACAGGTTCGCGCCAAGCGTCCATTTTCCTTGACTACAAAGTCTAGGGAGCGTTGAATCTTCACGATTGGTAGTGTTGCAGCTTAACGCGCGAACTAAACAGGTGTCGCCACCTTCAAGGCCGCCATCCAACCTTACACGGGAGAAACGCGCAGAAAAGTGGAATCATGAATTAAAGGTATCTCGATAAACGGATCGCTTATTATATCGCGTTAAAACAGTGCTAGCGGTGTTATATCGTCCACGATCTTGAGCCAAAGAACTGTGCAGTAAGGTGAGAAAGGTGGATATTTGTGAGGAAGTGTTTTGCTTGTTGCACAGTTGCCAAGGCGACTACAGTACGTGCGTGCGTGTGCGTGCGTGCTCCAAAAGTGTGTTATGAGAGAATAACGATTATTCTGACAAAGATTCGACAACTATCTTCGCATTAAACGCGATTCGATGTTTGGGAAACGAACGGCCTGAAAACGGGATTATGGACTACCCGGTTTTAGGCCACTACGACCCGTCCGTAGAGGCCACGGCTGAGAGCACCGCTGACGAACAAGAACTGCTTTGTAAGTATTTCCTCTATTGTTATTTAATGTTTCTTCTTTCTTCTAAAGGCATCAGATATCTCATGGCATTAAATTGCGATCACTTCGACCGAAGATTCGAAGGCTTGGAAAGGCGCGAAAACCGTTTCGTGAGACTCGTTGCCTGAATCATGGTGCGCGATCTGGTGTCCTATTATCCGTTAGTATCACGATATCTTTTGTCTCATTAATTCTTGTCCGGCAATCCAACGAACTGTTATTGGCTGCTCCCTCTCTTTCCCTTGTTTTCGAAGCCCGATGTTTAGTTTTGATCAGCTGTTCGGTAACGAATGGCCCAGCAAAATTTACGGGTTATAGACGATAACTAAATCAACCGTGACGTTGCTGTTTTCAACGTGAAAATTCGTCTCCTTTGTTCAAGTAGAATTCATGTAAACAATGATAAGAAACGTTGTCGACGTTAATAATCAGTAACCTGTATACAGTACCATCATGTTATCACAAGTTATGTTTAAACATTTTATCGATTAGCAAACTACAGAGATTTTCAATGTCAATTTCTACATTTTTTCTTACAGGGGAAGAATCGAATTATGTCTTACCTGGAGATGAATATGTACCTGCAGCCGAGCAGTTTGGAGAAGACTTTCTTGGAGCTGAATTTCATGAAACGCGTACTCTACTTGCTGATGGGGGGGATAGATTTGGAGTATCCACTGCCACTTTTGATACCGTCGAAGAACTTATGTGGATGGGGAATCAAGGGGTATTATGATGTTAATTATTATAGAAATATCTAATAAATTATCTGTCCAGTCCTGCTTATTATTTACTTCAAATGGCTCTAGTAATATTTATATGATTCGATGTACCTGATAAACTTATAAGATTGTGAATATGTTTCAATAAAACCAGATTTGAAATAATTATTTAACTGAACAATGCATGGATGAAAATAATGCTTTATAGGGTCACGTAACATCTTATTATGGAGCTGGCTTACAAAAGTACACCTCTTTTCAAGTACACTCTACACAGGAAGTTCGGCATATTCATCCATTAGATGAGGGAATTTTGGTTCTAACGCAAAGTTTGTTGAGATGCCAATTGCGACGAGGCATACCAATATTTACCCATATGTATGTCATTATTGTATTGTTTGTATCAAATAAATGGACACTATCTATAAGTGAAAATATTATAGGTCACCAAATATGATAGACATGCAATGCATGCTTCAAATTTCGCCAACCAGATTACTTATGGGGGGACATCAGGAAAAGATAATCGATTTTAATCTTACCCGCGGAAAAGAGACCGGATTAGTAAGTTTCTTCCTATGCTTGATGAGACTATTAATGCATATGCACATGTTACTATTTTTCCTCTACTTGTAGGTGCATGTAGGGGAAAATGGTTGTGCAATTTTAAGACAGCATAGTAGGCTCATATGTGCTGGAAACCCTGCAGGAAGAATCGATCTCAGGGATCCAAACACGTTATCAATAGAGCATACTTTTGATACCCATAGCGGTTCCCTAAGCGATTTCGATGTTCAGGGAAATTACCTTGTTACTTGTGGTTTTAGTAACAGGTGAGGTTTTAGAATTTAATTAGTATTAAGTACCATGAAATTAATTCTAATCAATTTTATTTATGGGTTTAGCCGCCAGGGCCTATCGGTTGATCGGTTCTTAATGGCATACGATTTAAGACAGATGAGAGCCTTAAGTCCTGTTACAACCCTAGTATATCCTCTCCTATTAAAGTTCCTACCCAGTTATTCCAGTCGTTTAGCGGTCGTATCGCCATTGGGACAGATGCAACTACTTGATACTATCTATGCTAATGTCCAGCCACCTATGACATGCTTGTATCAGGTAAAATATACAGAATGGACTTGGAGAGAGAATTACCAATACATTGTATATATGAACATTTTTGTTCTCATAGGTTGCTACCGGTGGTGCAATGATATTATCATTCGATGTTTCCTCCACGTCTCAATGTCTTTGTTTCGGAGATTCGGCAGGTTCTATACATCTCATGTCTACAAACACGCCTGAGCCTCAGTTCAATACATTTTCTCGGTTAGTAAATACATCGACTTCCAGGAATCAAAATGTATACAGAATGCAGAAAAATACGATTCTGTTTTTATTCATGTAGACCAACAGAATTCGCTGATCCAGTTGAATCATTTCAATGCATACCGTTTGATGATGATATTACACCATTGAGCTCAATACCTATTATCTATACTGGGCATCCACTATTAAGCGATTGGCCAGAAGAGTATCTGAAAAAGGTCTATAGGTAAATATTTAACCAGAAGAAATAATTCAAAACTACAGTGATGTCTCGAATGGCGATCGTCGCTACTTCCGCTTTCATCTCTCTTGAAAGTGACCACTTCCGGTCCCGAGCCGCCGTTAACCTTCGAGGCACTACTGTACATACTCAATGCCATGATTAATTTTAACTTACTAGAAATTCGATACAAGTATCTTTTACATGATTTTACAGGAAAACACCAGCGATAGATCCGGAAATTCTGCGCACAATGAAGATGCAAGGAACAATAGGTTATGCCCCAAATCCTCAGGCATTTCGCAGAAATCAAGTGAGGAAACAATATTCTCCCACTCTTGTACAATATACTACCCCAGCTCTCCTAAAGCTCTCCTAAAAACCCTCGCTTCCTGTTCTTCCTTTGTATGAGTGTCTCATAATTTCTATTTGATAATTATGTAAAATAAGTTATGCTATTCTTGATGTTTAAATTCCTTATTGCTAGTTGGAACACAACGAATCGTCACTGCCAGTCGTTGTGAATCTCCACAGTTTATCTTTGAATTGTTTGAGTCGTTCTTGAAGAACTTCAATTTTTTGGTTTCATATGAGATGTACAGTTGTAATTTTTAACTGTACATTTCATATTTATTGGCACACTCAGTGTGTTATTATTGATACTTTTTACCTAAGAGATATATTATGCTCGTGTAGCAATTGATACAATCAGAGTAATGTATTGTAACAAATAAAATTCAACATGGTTGATGCTATTAATTTCGTAGGAAAGCCAAAATAATACGATGTGATTAAGACTGATAACGTTTCGTGATAAACATTGTAGTCCATAAACAACTTGAGAGATCGTGATATATTTTCATAAACTAGTCCACTGTATTCTAATAATTTCTTTTACGATGATGTATGAAAATCTATACTACACACTGAATGTTCTTCTCCTAACTTTAGCGAACATCTTCGGTGATATTATACTATTGTTGTGTTTAGAAAAATGAAGATACCGCAGAAAAACGCGTTTGGTTGATCTCATTAAAGTATAAACGTTTGTAATTCGATTACTTTTTGAATCGTGGAATTTTTTGAAAAAATTGTTCTATCGAATCGAGCATGTTCGTAAGGTTGTACATTATCCAGCATACGTAAACCTATAATTGACCTTTATTTTAAGATTTCATATAATGGCTGTGTAAGTATGCAGTGATTGTATTTGCCTCAACTTCTTCAGAAAGCAATAATTTTCTAACTAACTTTTCATGAATACAGATGTGCCTGTGCGCAAGCAGAAATAATAAACGTGCTCCAATAATGTACATATAACAGCATTGCATAATTTTCAGTATAGTTTAAACATGTTAAATAAGTCTGATTCTGATATATTTTGAGATTTACCCTAAGTACAAGAAACGAACAAATATGTTACGAATAATTTTTGTATTATAAATATATCATTTGCTCGGTGCAAATTTATGAGACTTCATTAAATTCGAGGCTTTAACTTTTAAATAATAAAAGTCTCGAATTTAAAAATCCAAGAGAGATATGCATGCATAATTTATCTTTCTTTTTTTTAAATATGCATTTAAATCGTGTTCGTGCAATGAGAATTAATTATTGTCGAATCTCAACCAGCGTGACGAAAAAAAAAAAAAAAATATACCATTACTGCCTTTAATTCCGTTAATGCGTTTCTGTAATCGATGCATTTTTTTGTTCAATGATTTATGCTCAAATGATAGTTTTAGTACACCTAATGCCTATATAGAATATATTTCTCTAAAAATGTAATAATCGAAGTTGTATTTGAGTGAAATAAAGGTTGTAAGACATACTACGTAAGCCTAACTTATTGGCTCGGTCCCACGCGTCTTCAATAGGTATTATTTATTTTTTCACGGGTACAGATTACGTTTGCACTATCCATCGAATTTTATAATGTTTACCGCACCGCGTACAGACCTTCCAATAAAAAAGAGAGTGTACGACAGTTTGAAGAAAAATAAATAATACCTTTTTTACAGATACCTTACAATTTGGAAAAACGACGTGGCGTAGTTGCAAAGCTTTTCGCGGGGGACTCACGGTCCAAAACTGATGACGGCACCTTTGTGGCCATACCTAAACGTTACCGTAAAATCGAGGTGAAATACTCACGTCTCGGTTACGACGAGTTCGATTTCGATCAGTACAATCACACCAGCTTCTGTGGCTTGGAAGCCACACTTCCCAACAGTTATTGCAACGGTATGCTACAGGTAAGCAAAATCCAATCCTCAAGATAATCATTCTTTCAGCATCAGATGACACTTAATCGTTTTTTTTATTTTTTTTATTTCCAGTTACTTTATTATTGCGAGTCTGTAAGAATAGCGTTGCTGTCTCATTCGTGCCAAAGAGAATTCTGCCTCTCCTGTGAACTAGGATTTTTATTCCACATGTTGGACACGTCCCGGGGATTGCCTTGTCAAGCTGCTAATTTTCTTCGAGCTTTTAGAACCGTCCCGGAAGCAGCGGCCTTGGGACTTATACTCAGCGACCAACATCCGGAAGCGAAGAGGAAGACGAACTTGATCAGATTGATACAGGTAGAGTTGTCCCTGAAAGAAATATTTACAAATTAGTTTGGAGAAATGATATTGAGACTGTGATAAAGGTATTTCACAGAAACGTTTGTGTTCGAATGTATTAATCCTTCTTCGCAGAGCTGGAATAGGTTTATTCTTCATCAAATCCATTATGAGATATTGGAGACAAGGAAACGACAGCAGAAGGAGGAGGAAGCTGCTCGGCTTAAATCTAGTTCTCAGTGTCCACCATTCGTTTACAACGAACAGGATTTTCCTAGTATTCTGCAGGATATTGGTTCTCGGTACAGAAGTCACGACGAAGAGAGGAAGAAAAGGAGGAAGAAAGAAGGGGATGGTAAATATATGTGGATCACATCGAAAGGTAAACACAATTCACGTGTAACCTTTTCATTGGGCACTTTTTGTGTTTATTTTTCATTTTGTATGTGATTGTTTATCCAAAGAATATAAAAAGAAATTTTTGTTTAATGTCAAGAAGAAATATATCTTGATTCCTGTGTTCTTGAGATACCTTATTTTAAGAACAATGATAGACCTTCCGGTTGTTTGTTTAAATATTTTTCTTGTTTTAAACTGATTTTTTTACTTTTTTTTTTATAGGAAAGGAGTATTGCTTTTCGCGAATGCATGGCCTATTATGTAAAAATTCCACGAGTATCGGCAATGCTTTAATTTACAAAAGAAAAAATCCTTTAATACACTTCTTTCTAAATCAAAATGTTTTTAAACATTTTGTTCTTTCTAGTGCATTGCCGATACAAATAAAAATCCTTTGAAACATAGTTTATTTACCGCAACGCTGGTGAATCCCTATAGAAGAGTATTACTTATTTTCTTTTATTACATAATTTTGCAAATAAATATAAATCCATTAATGTCGATTTACTCGATAAAACTGATACCACTATTTATCATGGATAGATAAGAACAACAAAAAGTCTATCGAAGAAAACGAGGTACGAGACGAAGAGACAGAGATCAGTCGTCTATTTGGGTCCGAACAAATGCATATACATCGTTGTCTCAAATGTGGGCAAGAAGCAACGAAACATTCCATCATGTTGCTGTGTAATTTAGTTTATCCAGAATTAAGTCACCCTTGTAAGCCATTTATCAAGCTATACGTGTGCATATCGGTTACCTTCCATCTTTCATCCCCGATTGAAACGAATGAATTTTACCCTTTGTAGCAGAGGAGGTTCCGTTTACGAGTGTTCTTGCCCGCAGTTTAAGACCCGAGAAAATTACACCTGCATGGTGTGACAGTTGTCAGAAATTTACACCCACTCTACAATCTCGACAATTAACTAAACTACCTCAAATACTGGCTCTGAACTGTGGCCTAGATACACAGCAGGTACATGGAACACAAACTTATACATCACCTTATAAACCTGAAGAATAAAAAAATTGCTATAGATTTTCTAATCATTTCAAATCACCAATATTTTAGGACAAAGTGTTTTGGCAAACGCAAATGGATATAGTGGTCCAAAAAGTGTTAAGCGGGAAAGAAAGTAGCCCATCTTCGAGTCCCGTACCTGTTACCGTGAAACCTTGTCGATATGGTAACAACTGCACCCGAATTGGATGCAGATTCAGACACGTTGGTAGAGATTCAGGTACTGTAATTAATTCACACCTGTTAATATTTCAATTAGACAGTGTTCCAGGAACTTTCCATTTGTCTGTTCCACAGAAAATGTAACAACCCCACCAGTTACACCACCCACGGTCTCTTCGACACCTGTCGCCACACCACCTAGTCACCTGTACTATTCTCATTCATGGATTCCCCATAACATTGAAATTTCTCTGAATAGTAACGGTGAATTGAGCGTAGAAAAGATCAACAGTCCGAGGAACGATTACAATGAAAGTAGTAGCAAACCTTCGGAACAGGTTGTAGTAGAAAATGGTCAAGGCGATGGTAAAGATAAGCAAGATTTGGAGGGTTCTCAACAAAATTCCGAGGAGAAAACGGCTGAAAATCACGTTTCTGCTGGGGCGGACACTGGATATGCGGAAGGATCAGATACTATCGAAGAAAACTCGGTTAAAACTAGTAAAATGCAGTATAGCCTCAGTGCCGTTATTTGTTACATCGATGATAAGAGTAATGAGGATAGGAGGAACATTGTTGCGTTGCTGCGAGTTGGACCAAGTTATCATGAACGATCTACTGGTAGTGCAGTGTCGCAGTGGTATATTTTCAACGATTTCTGGTACGTAACTTGCTTATTCCACCTTTTGATTAATGGTAATTATAAAATCTGTAAGCAGTAAGATGTTAACATCAAAAGTAAGACTTAAAGCAAACACCAAAATTTGTTTTTTTAATTTAGTATATCAGCTGTAACACCCCAGGAAGCCGTCTGGTTTAATCTTGACTGGAAAGTCCCTTGTGTTCTTCATTATACCGCTGTACCATCACCCGAGCCAGTACCTTTCGTCAGTCCCCTTACTTACGACGTATTTGGGGAAGATAAATGTATAGCTCGTAGTGGAGGAACGAGGGGTATCACGTTCACACCATTGACATCCGACGAAATGCCTAAAAAAGGTCTCGAGCAAAAAAAGAAGTTCTTGACAAACTAATTGAAGCGTGAAATACGTATGATAGTTACTGAAACTTTTATTACAGGGGAGTTAGTAGGTATCGATGCAGAGTTCGTTACATTGAATCAAGAAGAGTCTGAGCTTAGAAGCGATGGGAAAATGTCCACCATAAAACCGAGTCACATGTCTGTTGCTCGGATAACTTGTATACGAGGGTGTGTATAATTATCGATCAGTTTCATTTTAATCTGTCAAATTTAATAAAATTTATATATATTTTTTTCCGTTCCTTCTCCCTTTTCCTTATCTTCCATAATCTCTGTTTAATATTGCTGATAAATTTTGAAACAGACAAGGTCCTTTGGAAGGTACTCCCTTCATAGATGACTACATAAGCACTCAAGAGCAAGTGGTCGATTACCTCACAAAATTCAGTGGAATCCAGCCTGGCGATTTGGACGCCAACTTCAGCAGCAAACATTTGACGACTTTGAAATCAACTTATCAGAAACTGCGGTTTCTGGTTGATAATGGAATCATATTCGTTGGTCATGGTCTGAAAAATGACTTTAGGTAACCGTTCAAGGCGTGCACAAAGATGCAACATAAAACCAAGTGTTTTTAATACTTTTTGTATTTGAATAATTAATTTTTCTAGAGTGATCAATTTAGTCGTGCCACCGGAACAGATCGTGGACACGGTACTATTGTTCCACTTACCGCATCATCGCATGGTGTCGCTTCGTTTTTTGACATGGCATTTTCTAGGAAAAAAGATTCAATCAGAAACACATGATTCAACTGAAGATGCTCGAGCTGCTCTAGAATTGTATCGTAAATACAAAGAACTAGAGAATTCTGGTAAACTAGCTGAATCTTTGAAGGAGCTCTACAATATTGGCAGTCAAATGCAATGGAAGGTAAGAGGAATTAAACTACTTAACTTTTTTCTTTCCCTTATCCATAAATTAAAAATAGAAGAAAATCATTATTTATCTCCAGGTGCCGGACAGCTGATACGAGGATAATTCTATCGAGGAGGTACATGATTCAGTCATATTATGTAACGATAATGAAACTTAGATGACTTTGAAGTATAATGTACATTCAATCGCTATACTTCAAAAGACATCATCCGTTCTATCGTTTCGCGACAGAATCATGCGTTACTCCTTTTCAAAACAGGTTTTTCGTGTGTAGAAACTAAGGAAATCCTGAGGGTAAAGTGTGCTGATGTCTCAAGTGTTAAAATGATTACGGGTACAATTGCATTGTCATTCGTGTTTAGTATTCCTGCGACTGTACAACAGAACTCCATTTATTTTTTATAAATTTCACTGAAACTGTTGTCGAACATCATTGACTTTTTAAATGAGCTCCTATTATTCGAACAGAAAATTATTGTAAAAAAGAAAAATTAGTGAGCTCATTATCCATAACGTCTCGGTTTCTTACACGTGGAGTTCTATTGTACTAGTACGTTAAAAAATCATTCACGGTATAAACGTTAATCACAATTCTTTTAGTTAGATCCCGTGTGATCGGTCATCGTAAATTGTGCAGAGATACCATACGAAAATTCTTGTTGATCACGCTTTTTTCTAGAAACGAGTTCGCCATGTCAGTGGCAACCTTGTACATATTGTCCGATAGCACATTAGCGTTTTGAAGAGCAGTGTCGATCCCAAAACTCTCCATACGACTACACGTATCACATATTTATGTATTTTAATTTTTTCCATCTTTCCAAACGACAGATAACACACGTGATCCATCCTGGCCGGTAAACTGAGTTAACAGTAAATGTATATAATTAATAGTTAGTGTTTCTAGCAATAATTCTGGATGGGGTATTACCTTTACGGAGGTGCACACATTTCATGATTTTTCGTTTTATATATGTATCTTTTCTATAGAGTACCAACTTTTGTACCGTTTTAATCAAACGACAGTTCGCGAGAACGAGACAGAGAGAAAAGAGAAACATTTTTTTTTTTAATAAGATTTACTTCGTCCAATGATGGATTTTCATTTCTGCTCGCGAGATCGTTTTAATTCATTGATCTATTGACGAACAAATCATTGAGAGAACCAAACATTTTTCTAAACGGTCCTTTTCTACGAGACTCTCCAAAACGCAGAATATTTAAACGAAATGCGGTAGTATATTTTACAAAACGATTGTATTCATAGATTATTTTTATATATATTTTATCAATGACAAAAAAAAAAATGAAACAAGAGAGAAAGTGTGAGGAAAAATACCGTCAAAAATCTATTGAACGAAACGAGATTATCGAAGCATATATTTTTTTATATATGAACAGATTTTCTTATCGTTTGGTGTATAGCATAACTTACCACATTGACTACAATAGAAGGAAACACAATTTATACAGCTGACGTAAAAAAAACAATGGCACATGTTAATAGTAATTATGCATTTGATTTATGTCCACTACTGTTACGTCATTGTGAATTTTTTAAAATAAACGATAGTATGAACAATTAATCTTCTATTTGTATGATTGAATAAAAAATCCTCCACTTTTTATTTTGTTATAAATTAAACATATCCAGTCTGAAAATAAAATATATCAATCTTCGTATTAATAATATTATATATATATTTCTTTTTTCTTTTAATATTACATCTTAAGTCTGTATATACAAGTCAGTTCTACCTTCCCGTTTTTTTTTTTTTTCAGGAATTTTTTTATTCTCTACACAATTATTATTATTCTGCGTTAGCTAGTTTCTCTCTGAACAGTTTTAGTAATACAATTAATAATTTACAAAATTGTACACACATCCGCACGGGGCTTGCCCCGTTCATGTTACGGCGCTCTATCATACGTTACATATACATGTAATAACGTAAAAATTCAATAAATAATCGAAAGTTCCCGTTCTCGAGACCATTTCTGTAAAACACAGAAATTAAAGAAAAATAAAACATTGATCGTCTATCGATGACGACGATGATTGAGATCTGTCAACATAAATCGAATGATTAAGCATTCCCTGACGAAGATCAAGATCTAAAAGTTGTGGTAAAAATATATTTTCTTAAATATTATTTATGGCAGTTTGAACCGTTCTGTAATGAAATGTTTTTTAAAATTAATTCTAAAGATGATCTCATGGGCTGCTAATTAATTTGTCCATTTTCTATTCTAAAATCTTCAAAAACAGATTAACTTCATTATAGAATAAAACTTTAAATCGATGAACGGGCGGTTTAAGTAAGTGTTACAAGTAATTAAAAAAAAGAGATAAAGAACGTAATAAAGGAAAAAGAAGATGTCTCCTGACTAGAAACTTGCATGGTCGAGCTGCAGGAGCTGGAAGAGTATTCTGTGGCAGTAGAAATAAAAATAATCGCATTAGAATCTGCACAATAATCACTCTAGCAGTTTCTTCGTTCTGGCCTGGGGATCAAGGCACTCGCGAATTGTTAATTGAAATTATGCTTCGTTACTCGCCACATTACAGTTCGACGAGCGTGATGTACATACAGCCAGTGCATGGTTCCGTTTCTTCGCGGAAGTTTAAGGCACTTTTTTGCTCGTTCGTTACGATTAATGTCGTTCGACAATATTTTTTCTTTTATATTCGATATGGATTCCACTGATTAATCCTTGTCAAATTAAGTTTCAGTGGTCGTCCCCTTGCTGAAAGTGGCCATTTCTGTTAAGGGGTTGTCGCTCTGGGGCATCGGACGGTCTATTCCTCTTGAAGAACCCGCACTGTGAATAAAAATGACAATTAATTGTGTATATTTTTATTTTCTCATTTTATAAATAAATTTCAGTAAACAAACCTTGTGAAGCAGGAAGATAAGTAGCAACAGGATGATCGTTCCCGCGCAGGCCGAGAGAACCACAACCCATAGCGGAACGACATCCGGTACGGACGGGGTGACGCTTGGCTCGACGTTCGTTTTGATCTCGTGACTCTTAATCACTTGTTCAGCAGGCGTGCCGATGAACGGCTGCTTGGTAACTCGAGCTACCAGCTTCGTGGAAACGCGGACCTTCTCTTGAAGAGCCACTTTCTTCAACGTCCTCGCGTCTACCCTGTACCTAGCTCCGATCCACACTTCCTGGTCCTTCTTCAGAGGACCTAGTACGCACCTCAGCATCACGCATCTCGCTGTGTCGCAAGGACTGCTGGGTTCCTGCGTCCCGAGATCATTTTCGTAATCAGTCTTACCATCGAATCCACCTTCCCTTATCAGAGGATCCTTCACCAGGTCTCTGGGACTTCTATGAAGAGTTTCGAATTTCCTAAACTCCTTCAAGTCCACCATGTCGCTCTCGCGTTTGAACCTGGTTCCATCGTTTGGAACATTAGTCACGGTGTCTTCGTCGAGGCTTTCGCGATTCTCCCTTCCGTAAACCCTACTGGTCACCCTCCTGTCCTCTGTCCTCCTCTCTTCGTGGGAGCTACTGTACCTAGCCTCGTATTCTGATTCAAGATCAGTATGATTAGATCCCTCGTTCCAGGTCCTGCTGTAGTTATGCGAACTTGTGCCCTGCTGATAACGTGGATCACCTAAGTTAATCGTCCTCTCCTCGGTGTAGCTGAAGGAACCTTGCAGAGGAAACCTGCGGCCATCTTTCAGAACGATGAACCCTTTACCAGTGGAGTCTATCAAGAGTTCACCTTCGATCCGCAAGAATCTACTGTCCCTGTGCTGGCCCTCGGACATGTAGCTCTGCCCTCCGTAGCGATCTTGAAGAGGGAACGTGGAGCCATCCTGGAACTCTATGTATTCTCTATCAGCAGAGTTCCTGAATCTCCCCATAAACTGTACGTAATTTCTACCCTGTCTATTCTGTAACTCGTAACCGACTGACTTCGACAGAGATCCGAATAATTGTTCCAGTTCCTGTTTGGAGCTAACGTTACGTAACTGGAAGCCGAATTCTCCTCCTCTGATGGTCTCCTCCCGGTCACCAGTGATGAATCCCTCCTTGCTACCATAGCTTCCTGAAGAAGTACTAAAGCGTCTTTCCTGCTCGATTTTGTACGCTTCTTCTTCTATTCTTCTTCGTTCATCCTCCTGTCGTCTTCGAATCTCTTCGTCCTGTTTCCTGCGTTCGTCTTCCCGTCTTCTCAGCTCCTCCTCGTGCACCCTCCTTCGTTCTTCCTCCTGTCTTTCCTGGTAGTACAGGCGTTCCTCTTCTTCTCGCTGTCGCTGACTAATCAGCTGCTGTTCTTTCTTCCGTTGACGTTCTATCCTCGTTGCTTCCTCTTCTTGCTGACGACGTTGGTACTCCTGTTGCCTCAGCAACTCCCGGTACCTCTCCTCGCTCTCTGACGAGGAGACACTGTGACCTCTGGACACCTTGATCTCACCCCATCGGTTTTCACCTGCTTGATTCGTGGGACTACCGTAGGGTTCCTCAGGAACTGGAGTTCTTGAATTCAAGCTATCGTCGCTGCTATGGAGAACGCCCAGAGTTCCGGTTTCTCCATAGCCACTGGATTCTGTGTGGATAATCGCGCCTCTGTTAGCAGAGGTCAAGTCCCCAGTGCCGATGGAGCCGGTTCCAGAACTGTTTTGCGTGTACGTCGTGACGAGGACGTCTGGTTTATTTCCACTGTCTGATAACTGTATCCTCCTAGTCTCACTAGTGACGACGTTCGATGACGAAGAAGACGAGTGACGAGATTTCTGGATGCTCGAACTGTCTCCAATGTTTATTTCACTTTCTTCTCTTTGACCGAATTTGTTTTTGTCCTGATCGAAGCCTCTTTGCACATTGATCGTTCCGCCTGATTGGGACTCGTCCAGGATCACTCCTGAAGGGTCCGAATGATGGGAGTAAATCCTTCTGCGTTGGTCCAACTGAAATAGATGAAAGATTTCAGACATTGTTTAATTACATAGGATACTCGATGCATACCTTCAGACTAAGATAATTTGCATTCGCAGGTTCGCAGGCGATTGGTCCAGACGTTTCCGGTTGCTCCAGCAGATAGAGCAATTCATTTCCAGCCAGCGTCTGAGCTGGCCAAATGAGGAAGGCTTCCGCTTCGATCACGTCTGATGGCCCCTGATTACGGATCGTGTAATTATGCGTCATGGCTGGCCCAAATTCAGTTTCCGTGGTCGCATTAGTCTCGCTGGTATAATTATCTGGGTTATAATACAAATCCTTTGGTTTGCTTTCACCATCTACTCGGAGATCGGTCTCGATCCATATGGGAAGCTTCATGGTATATTTATTATCTTCAATGGTCCAGGAATTCTCCGGATTGGTCGTGTTCACGTCCATTTCGAATTCATAGACGGGTTTCATCCCGTGCGAAGTGACTGGTTGCAGAAGGACCTTGAACTTGATCAACCCATTCTTCTGCAACGGATTGCCAATGTCACAGCGAAGGGTGTTGTTGTTCGACTGCTTCGGTGCTGAACATTGCACGGGTACCCCCATGGTCTCGATCTTCTCTACCTTGATGTAATCGATACCAGAGGGTAACTTCAGGTTGTACGTCGATTCGAACGCGTCCTCGCCCATGTTCTGCACCAAGACATTTAGCTCCAGCCGCTTGTTAGATCCCAACAGGTACTTGTGCACGTTCGACGTCACGTTCAGCTGCAAGTCTGGGATGCACACGTTGTCGGGGCCGCAGTTCTTTCTGATAGACAGAGAGTCCTTCCTGGATGTCGTCGAGCCGAGGATCGGGCGCAGGGGGACTCTGGGGTCCCTCGGCCTATTGTCCTTGATACGCTCTTCGTCGAGACTCATACGCATCTCCGCGTCGAGGGACGTCAGTTTGTCGCGAATGTTAGGGGTTACGTACACCTGTATTGAAAGCAATTTTTAATAATTTTCAATTTGATGATATTGTTGAAAATAAGAGTACAATTTACCTGAACTGTACGACAGAATTCTCGGTCCTGATCCACTGTGATGGTGCGATTCAAAATGTTGCTTCCCTCCAGCTCCAGGAAGAACAATCTAGGACTCTTCGTCTTCTTCACGTCCAGTACGTATTGGATGTTGAAACTGTGCTTCGAAAAGACACCCTCCCCGCTGTATTTAAAGCAAGCCCTCAATGGGAGACATGTAACCCTGCTTCCATCGGAGAGAGTGCAATTCCTGTCGTCCAAGGAGATCAACTTCGACTCTAATCCAAACGACACGAAGGAATCCATTTTGATGACCGGTCGAGATCTGAAGAAAACTGCTGTGGCAGAATCGTAAGCGCCGACTACCAGATCTGGATATTGATTCCCATCGAGATCAAGGCCACCGGATACCGAAAATCCAAAGGTATCCACTGGTATGTCGAGGTTCTCAGCATGGATCACTTGGGAATATTTCTCCAGGACGCCGGTTGATGAACCGTGATAGATGTACACGGCTCCATGACCACGGAGACCACCGTAAGGAGCACCCACCACGAAGTCGCCGTACCCGTCACGGTCGATGTCCCCCAGAGAGGCCAGTGACAAGCCGAATCGTCCGCGGTTGCTCTCCCCGTCCCTGGATAACGATAAGTAATTATCGCGAGAGTTCAACGATCTGTGTGGTCCGTTTTTGTTTGATCGTTGAGATCTTTCTGAATGAAACTTTTGAATGAGAGGGAAATGATGATACTGATTTTTATTGTCTTCAGAGTAGTGCTTAGGATTTTTGTGCACGATGATGCATGAGAGTTTTTTAAAGTTTGAACTACAAATCTAATGAACAAATTTTAGATTTATCTTCTAATAATAATATTGCACTTACATACTTTCTTATACAGAATGTCTGAAAGAATCGGTCTACGTAAAGAAAAGTGCATGTGCATCAGATAAGTGCATCGCAACAGTTGATGTGAAATATTTCCCTATCTTTTCTTTTTTCAACATTTTACCCTAATACTTTCTTATACAGAATGTCTATAAGAATCGATCTATGTAAAAAAAAGTTCAAAAATCAATTTCTAAAAAAAGTGCATGTGCATCGGGTAAGTGCATCGCTACGTTCGATTTGAGATATCTTTCAAACTATTCTGTTTTCAACATTTTGCCCTAATACTTTCTTATACAGAATGTCTAAAAGAATCGATCTATGTAAAAAAAAGTTCAAAAATCAATTTCTAAAAAAAGTGCATGTGCATCGGGTAAGTGCATCGCTACATTCGATTTGAGATATCTTTCAAACTATTCTGTTTTCAACATTTTGCCCTAATACTTTCTTATACAGAATGTCTATAAGAATCGATCTATGTAAAAAAAAGTTCAAAAATCAATTTCTAAAAAAAGTGCATGTGCATCGATAAGTGCATCGCTGCACTTGATTTGAAATATTTCTCAAACTATTCCGTTTTCAACAATTTACCCTAATATGTACATATTGTATTTAAAAATAGGAATGAAATACCTGGTATCAACTTTGCGGAATTTTTCAGGTCCAGTGCCTTGATAGATAACATACACCCTTCCGGTCTCGATGGTCATTTCCGGGTTATCTGGTACAGTGTACATAGGCGCACCAACTATAAGATCGTCCAACCGATCTCCATCGATATCACCGGAAGCGACAGCGTAACCGAAATACGCTCCCATTTGTTCGCCAGTAATATTACGAGGATTCGTCATGTTCGAGGTGAAAAGAATAACCTGCAATTAAATTTTCAATTAAATAATATTCTCATTAATATAATTTCTGAAGAAAAATTATTTTCTTAAAAGTTTCTCTCCGAGAAAGCAACAAAATCTTCCTCGTCACGACATCTTTGATAGAAGAATTAATTTCAACCGGTGGCATTCTCTTTTCTCTATTTTCCTTTACAATAATGTGTTAATATTTCATGAGCATACTTTGCCGAGAAGATCAGAGCCACGAGGTACACCAACCGCGGTACCGCTGTCACCGTTTCCAGTAAAGTCACCGGTCGTGACGGAGTAACCCATGTAGCTATCGTCCTCTGTGGCTGGCCCTTCCTTCGTGAACATTATTCTCGAACGACTGTTCAACGGCTGTGAAAATGCTTGGCCTGTAAAGTAAGCGGCAATCGATAGAATCCAAGCAACCTGAGTATTTCGACACATACTTTCCCAAACACAATTCCGTTTCCGACTGCGATCCAGGAAATCGAATTGAAATCATTTCACTATTATTTTGATTATTAATTTTCAATTAATCTACACCATTTTCGAAATCGCAGTCGGAGAACGTTTGAAACAATTACACGCTGGGTGAATCGTTAAGCCACTTTTTGATTATTAATTAATCTAGCTTCTAAGCGCATCTCTATCCATGAGGACGCTGGTATTATTCCGTTCAGCGCTACTGCCAGGCAGCTGTAAATAAATAGCGTGGCTAGTACGATGTTTTCATTTCAGCTCGATTAGGTATTACTCGTACAGCCTGGCTTCGGTATTATTCTGGCTGTGGCCGCAACGCGAAGCTGCAAGAAGCGGGCCTACACCTATTAAACACAGCCACCCTCGACTCACCTGGCAGTAATTAACAAACAGTAGCACACGGTGAATTAATCGTCAATCGGATATTAATCACTGAGGTAAGGGAGGCTTCTCGGGCCTCGAACTGTCAAGCATAGAAGAATCACGTAACTTGTTCATTTCTATTATTTTCATTGTTTAAAAATCGAAACAAAGGAACACAGAAAACTATCAACAATGAAAATAATAATAAAATGTTACGTGACGCTCTCTGTGTAATAAGCTAATTAGCTAATTAGCCAACGTATCGTACAGAGAATCTCTTCTTGTTTTTACGATGCTTTTTAGCGTGACAGTTGTGCGTGGCTTCGTATTATTAATATCACAGGCGTTTTGTTAATCGCGGTGAAACCGTATGAGTGGAAGCCGGATGAATATGTAATTACTGGAAATTAATCAGGGCCACTGCCAAGCAAGTGTGAGGAAGGTACGAAAATTGTGATGGTGTCCGTTTGCTTTGGATGGTATTTAAACACCATCAATGGTGGATCGACATCTTTATTCAGGATGAAGCGTCTAGGAAAATAAACTGAAGTACCTTCGTTGCTTTTTAGATTAAAATTGCACGCATTCAAAGTGAACGACGCGAAGGATTATCAGAGTCAAAATATTTCAAACGCAAAGAAAGCAACCTAATTCAAACCAGATAATTTCTTCAACTAAACTCATCCGTTTTAATTACACTTTCGAGCCGTATGATTTAATTCTCGATTATATACTTATCGGTTCATGAAAGCAACGAAGATATTCAAGGCATGAAAAGTATTCGTTATTAGACGCTTCGACCCGTCAAGTTTCATAGGCTTTGATGAGGAAATCGTCTTCGAGCGTCAAGCAACACTTGTTAATGGGCGCCGTCGTTAACAAAATGGCAGCTGATTAGAGGTTTCAAATACGGATGGGGGTACGGTGGGGCTTGTTAAACGACGGCGTTTCTGTTCATTTTTTTTTTTCTAGCCTGTTTGATTAAGGACGCCTGCAAGTACGCGGTACCTGATGCTTCTGCTTCGGGGGTGAATAACATCGTCGCTAAGAACCTCAACCTCATAGCGGTGCTGATCGAGTATATCTGACCTGTAATCGTTTAACGAAACTCTCTAAATTTCATAGAAAAGACCCACAGAACACGGGTGTGTCGCGATATTCGTTTTGGTGTTGCTGTTCCATCGCCCAGGCGTTATAAAAGCTCGAATTCCGTTCGTTCAATTAGCGGCCCAATTTTCACCGTCCAATTAGCGGGGATTGATTTAATCGAATTGCAGTTCTCGCTGAGAATTTTGATAAGCCTGATTTGCATTTAGGGATTTTGATCGTTGCTTGCGTTTATTACCAACCTCTCGTGGCTGAAGATTTGTACAGAATTTAGATAAATAGTTGCGAGAATAATATTTTAATTACCGAATTATCAAAGAATCATTTAGATCTCGAAGAAGCTGATTGATATTCTTCAGCTTCTTTGAATATTCAAAAATAGGATAGATAAATGTGTATTTATATTTACAAGTGTCTTTTTTAACAAGGTGTCACGTTTCAAGGTATCGTCGATTATGAAATTTTCGACCTGAATCGAAACTCCGAGACGGTGAACCGAGAAGAAATCTTACCTTGCCAGTACCAACTTCCTGGCGCCCCGATGAAGAGCCTCTCACCGTTCTGAAACGAATGGAAAGGTGTGCCATTAGAGAAATTAATCGACGTCAAATAACTAACGGTGGGAAGCACTTTACTATGCTCGTTTTTATCAGTGAAATTTATTCGGTTTCCCCTTCGTTTCCGTTCGTCTTTACATTTCTTTCACCTGCAGCCGTACCTCAACTTCAAAAGCAAGGAAATTGAATAAATTTACAAGACGATCTTTAACTGTAGCTATAAATTTTTGAAAATGATTTGAAAAGGAATTTCAACGATACAAGGAACCCGTGATAAAATCGAGTAATAATCAATTTATCAAAGTTAATCGGAAAAAATTTCCTCGATTCGTTCTTATGCATTGGAAAGTTGCAACGTATCGGCAGGCGCGTGCGGGAAAGCAGCGGAACAACGGTCGGGATTTTTGTCAGCCGCGGGCTGTGCAACGAGGAAACGGACGCACCCACGAAAGTTTAATTTTTCTTTAATTCAGAAGATAATAGCGGAGATAAGAGACGGCAAACTCGCGCCAGTTCGAGACGCGATAAATCAGCCTCTCGTACGTATGCCAGCCGCGGCTTCTATGCGCCGTGTTGAGCGCACAAATGCGTCGAGCATGTTAAATCCGCTTAGATCCTGCCCTCTGCGATCCAGGTCTATGTAGAAAAATCCTGAGTCAATCGTGGGATTTTACAATAAAAAAAAAGGAATAAAAATGGACCCTGAATTATTATTTCACATTGTCGGCGGGGTTCGAAGTTTTCTAATTCTCAACAATCTTCCTCGAGCATCTTCATAAAAGCAACGTGTAACGAATTGCGCAACGCTATCGACGTCTATTTACGACTATATGCCAGCTACACTGTTATTTTAGACCCTACAAGCAACGACGAGCGTGCGCGAGACGAACGGTCAATCAAAGGCCAATAAATTCCTCGGCTGTAACGTTGAATCGGCTCAAGAACCTGTCGCAAAGGCAGCACCGTGATAAAGCAACACTCATCGGCCATGTTCACACACGCTCCATCGACTGTGCACTTAATCGGTGCATGAGTTGCTCGAGTGCCACTCGAAATCATCGACATACCTTTATTGCGGTTAAACCCTTCTATCGTTCGTTCCCATGCGTGGAAGAAACTTTTTCACCAAACTTTTACACGTCCGACGTGTACAGTCTTATACTACTTACGACGAAAAAATGGAATTTTTTATGAAAACCGCAGTCATGCATTTTTATATTAAATTTCAAATTTCTTTTATTTTTGACTGCAGAATAAAATCGTGTATCTTGAAGAGACAACCTGATGCAGCATATGTACATCCTCTAAATTCTAAACAGTAATTTGTAAAAACTGAAATTTTTTATGAAAACCGCAGTCATGCATTTTTATATTAAATTACAAATTTCAAATTTCTTTTATTTCTGACTGTAGAATAAAATCTTGTATCTTGAAGAGAAAACCTGATGCAGCATATGTAATGAAATAGAATTGTTACATCCTCTAAATTCTAAACAGTAATTTGGAAAAAAGAGCTCGTTTTACCGGCTCGATTCCGCCTTAGTCTCATTCATATTGCATGATATTATCGTGAATCGTGCTCGTGCATTCAGCTTCTTGCGATCATTCACGTACCGCGGACCGTTGATTAATATGTATGCAGGACATAATCTCTGCCTACTGTTAGATAAGACTGTAGGAGGTTCACCGTTACAGCCTGTAAAATGTAAACGCATCGTGTGCAAGGAACATGTCTTTACGAGCCTATTGCTCTTACCAACGATGCTGACGAGAGTTGCATTCATCAACAGACGTGTAATGGAACGTTAAGTTTCAATAACCAAGGGTATTTTAATGAAACACTATAAATTAGTCGAAGCGATTGCTACCTGGATCTGGTATTATTTATGAAGTAGAAAATGGAAGATGCGTTAAATTATCAGTAATCTCCTATAATTAATAAAACGTACTGTTGCAATTCTTGTGTCACTTTATACAAATTCAGTAACTTGTGATACTAAATGAAATGCATCACCAAAAATTGAAATGTTAAAAGGATTAAAATGCAACGAAAATTAAGGAGATAACAGTGACATTTTACGACACCATTCCCTAAATCGAATCTAGCGAGAAGTCTACGACCAACTTGTTTAAATATCACCGAGATCAAAGTGTTAATCGTGGTGCAATGTTGGTATGCTTACTCGCGATGCACCTAAGCGTGCAGTCCACCGCCCACGCACGCACGTGGTGCATAGAGCGTTTTGCAGCGATAAAAAACACGGATTCCATGGATTAAATGACCAACAAGAAGCATGGAAACGCTGACAGAGATTAGAGGAAGACGCGAGCAAACGAAGGGGAAAGTTATTGCCTGGTTGGATCTGACAGGGACATTTCTTGAGAGAACGATAGATAAATGAACAATTTATTGAATAAAATAAGAACGAAGAATAATCAAATCAATGACTCCACGTTTCACGTACTTAACCCTTTCTTCGTTTCGAAATTTAAACATCGAGCTATCCATAAAACCGGAAACAAAGCAGCAGAAGGAGAGTACATTTCCTACGAAGTAGGACGAGGGTACGGCGATATGGTCGCGAAAATGTGACGTCCCCGACCGGATTCCCGGTTCCGTTGCGGCGAAAGGGCCGTGTCTAGTTTCGTTTTACTCTGCTTATCATGAGAAACGGCGGCCGTTTATAAAACAATGCTGCCGCTAAGGGAGGAGAAGGAAAAGGTGGAGGAGGAGCGGCGCGTAGGTGGCCTGCTCGCAACGCAGGCCGACGGTGAACACGGAACACCGTGACAGAACGAAATGTCCGTGCCTTAAATGGCCACCTGAGACTCCCCTGTCGTTGCTATTGCTGTTCGCCGCTGCCGTGTCGCGAGTGCCCTTTTTCACCATCCCCTTCGCCCGTCTCTTTCCACGCGTGTAAGCGCCTCGAACAAGCGTGCGACGTCCGGGTGACAAAGGGCCCCCGTGACTTTTCGCCTCGTTGGACCAGGTGCGAATCGATCGCTTCTTAATCGACCGGAAGCCAGCTAATCGACTTTCCGATGGCCGATTATTGACTGAGAAGGGACAGAGACGTTTTGTCGTTTCATGATTGGTAACTCAATCTAGATGGACACATCATTAAGGAATTTTATATTTTATTATAAGAACGTTGAATTCGTAATGTACATTACGCAAGTGCATAGGGAATGCAACGTAAACTGCAGGAAGAATAATAGGAATGCATTTTCACTGCCCTCTGATAAGTAATCTTCGCTCCATTAGAATCCATACGATCCTCGTAACCAGTGCTGTGTTACAGACGACAGGGTTCGCGCTGTAATTCTGTCGAATCGTAGAGTTTATGCTGTTGAGTCACTGCATTTGCATTGGGTGCTCCTTTCCAGCACCCTATGATTCTTGTAATGAAGATTTATATAATTGAAGCGGTTCATGCAGCAATGTTGGGGTTTTATTTTCAGAATTTATTATTTATTTTGAAGATCTACCGAGCGTCCCATTAATTTTCCAGGCCAAGCAAGAACCATCACGTCCAAGTCCTCGAGGCTATCGGTGGAACATCTCGGTTACGTCAGTGCATCGCAAGCGCATGCAGTCTCTGTATGCAGCGCAGTGGCGCCAGGACGGTCCACTTTAGGGCCCGCTTTTATATTTATTGTCCCGCAGAAATGTTATTATTTGTGAGCAGGCATGCCGATCCATGCGGCGATTCGCACGGTAAGCGAACAATGGGCCCCCTCTTCGTTGGCCAACAATGTCAAACGTGCGACCAAGTCACGTGTACGCCCAGCGTCCCGATGCGCTCTGCCTGCATGGGTGCAATAACCGTGACTTCTGTGTTCCGGCGCCATCCGACGAACCATCGAGACCTTTTCTAAGATAGAACATTGGAGGTGCTCTAAACGAAATTGAAGCCATAAATAGGAGTGTTGAAAGTAATTACTGCGGCCAACGATGGGAAATTCCATGGTCATAAAGCAATAAAATGACCTTTTTGCAGACTAGACGTTTTCTTTAAAATTTTCTCAATAATTTGGGAAATGGCACTTATGGCATATCAATTTAGAACATAATGAAAATGATTGTGGTAATCAATATTCTTAAAAATTGTCAGTTCCTCGTTGGAATAAACAATGAATCGAGCAATTTAAAGTCTGCAACCCCGTGTCCGTAGGAACGTGATACAGCGAAGGTATTAGCGAGCCAGGTAGCCAAGCAAATACGTGCATTTGTCGAGCGGACTCGTACGACACGGCCGTACACAGAAGCGGTCTGGAACAGGCTTTACGGGAGGAGAAACCGACACGATGTACCCCCTACGGAGTAGCGCTGCCTCGATGCTCCTACACGCGAAAAATTTGCAACCGAGACAATGGCGGTCGTATTCTGGCCGGTCTACACGAAACACGAACGGCACGAGTTGTATTCTGGCGCCGATCGCGAGGCGCAGGAAACGGCCATACGAGATTGAAATATAACCGGTCGCTCAAATATGGATGGGAGCACGCTGAAATTTATGCCATCGGTCCCGTGTATTTACGTATGTATGCATGTACACGCGTATACCGGACCGGCCAATAAGTTCTCCGACGACTTTCGCGACTTCTCAAAGAAATCGGCAAGCATTTATGACGATTCGGTATAATGAAAGTGAAGTAAAGGTAGTCCGAGCTCGATAGATGTGAGGTATAGAAGACTGTACAAAAATTTGAAAAATTATTTTCTTGGGTATTTGATTGTTAAGGAAATTAAAAATTCCACTGTCAAATCCTTTAATCTTATAAGGAAAGAGATCGATGGAAAACAGATTTTCCTGAAAATTCCAGAAGATGTCATCTCCAAATTTAATTTAGCAAAGCAGTAGCGCGCGCCTCTCATGATTTTCCTTTAAAAAGTTTACATAAGGAATAAACAACGATCCGAATCGCTGATGGCGTAGGCGTAACGAGAAATACTGTTAAACAGTAGATTGATGGTTCGAATCTCGCTGACGATATTTTTTTTTTTTTTCTTTAATTGATACCTACCTCAATTTTTAGCCTAAAATATATGAAATCTGTACCAATGAACAATTACTTTTAAGTTTTAGATAGAAAATGCATGTTTTTTGTTCGTGGGCATTGGGAAAAAAATCGAACATAAAAATAATACAGAATGTTATGTTGTGTTTGTGTTTAGGTGCACTGCTTTCTAATGAAAGATAAATAACTATCAAATTCGAATCTAAAATGATTTCTCGAAACCGGAAACCTCGTTGGGGCATTGAGATTTCACGAAAGGACCTCCCCAGAGTTATTTTCGAGCCGACGAACGGAGGATACAGGCTCGTCGAAGCAGAATCGATGCGAGTTCCGAGTCGTATAGATCGATATCGCTCGGATATCAATCGATCTTGACTAGATCCTCTGTAGATCGGGGGATAACGCGCGGAACCAGGTACAACAGAGGTAGATACCAGAAGCGGCGGTTTAACGCGAAGATCGATGGTCGATTGCATACTCAATGGCGTCGAGGAGGCTTCTAAATCACTGGCCTCGAGATTTAGTGCACCGGACTGACTCCGGGAGTTGCAGTTTACTTGATCGGTTCGAGAAAATACTTTGTGTCAAGAGGAAATCGAAATTTGCCTAATATCTTCATCGAGGATTTTAAAAAGAAATTATGGGTAGGAAAATTAAGGGTGTGCCGTTGAGATTAGCATAAAAATGGGAATGTTTTAATCATGAAGCAGAAACGTGTTTGGAAGATAAAATAAAAGTAAAGACACAATTTCATAATTAACGTAATTACGACTAAAAGGCGAAGAATTATTTTATAAAATTCTGAAAGACCTCCGCAGAAATCTTCCTAAAGTCCTGTCATCGAAGAAGGGAGCCGTACGTCTTCATCCAGGGTTAAACGCCCCATTAAAATTCGCCAGCGGTGGCCAGCTGTTGGCGAACGGGAAAGAAAAATGGAAAAGGAGCAAATGGAGGTGGGTAAGGATCGAATTTGCCTAAAATCATTGCGCCAACGTCGTTTCACGACTGACCGTGGGTACCAGTCGACGATTGACCGTTCGTCGGATCGCGGGGGTGGGGTATTAACATTGAATGCTGAAGTTAGAAGCAGCCAACGGGCCGCAGCATGCATTAAACATCTGCCATATAGCCGGACAATTCTGAATTATACATCCCCGGCAAGATAGCCGGCTGAGTGGCCGCGGAATTGTCCCACTATTTCTTTGCCGGCAATCGAACCTGTCCCGCTGCGAGATAACGTTACTCCCCTGTTCGTGGATTGGTGAACAATTCCTTGCGAAGGAGTTTCTTGCTAGTATTCGGATTAGATCCGAGTCTCTGGGTCACGCGGTTCAGGAAAAAGGGAGCGAAGGATGTTAAGAGCTGTAGTTGCAAGAAATGCTCTGATTATTCTGGTTCGGTGCCCTCAAAATGAGAACTGACACCTCTTTTACAAAAAATTATTGGAATAAATAAGAATAGAAATTCGTCAGTTTATATAAAATATAACTTACACTCCTACAGATTTCCAACAAAAAAGAAAAAGAAGAAATATATTCTTAAAGACACGTCAGTTTTCCAAAACCCTGCAAGATTAACTCATCCCCAACGAAATCAGAATCTCCCGGTCGATCTTCGACCCTGAAGAACGTATTCTTCATACGTTTCACGTTTACCATGTCCCATTCGTATCTCCCTTGGAACAACAGCGAAATAAAACAGACGTACCAATTTCGAATTCGTCGTGCCTATTGGCCCTGATACTTATCGGGAGTCAGAGCAAACAGAGGGCAGAGAAGAAGGTATCACCCGAGGATCGCGCAGGTGCATCGAACGTGTTTGCGCCCTTTAGGTGTTCACCAGCGAGATGCATCTCTCTGTTGGAAGGGAATCGTTTAAGAAAAAAGGAAGGAAAAAAGAAAGTTGGCCGACGCGTACGGTCCATGGGCCATCGGTCCTCAGGATCTGCCGACGGCCAGAAAATCGAGCTTTCGACAAGACAATCGTATAGGAGAGACCGCCGATTGCCTCTTATACCCTCGCATGCACCACGAATACGAATGCGGAGGTGCGTAAGGTAGGAATTCACATTCCTGGCCATATTCGGCTCTCGCCGACCCCTCGTGTCGCCTCTTAACTCTTTCAGGACGTGGCAACCGCCAGGACACGTGGGGGTTACCGTATTTATATCCCCCGTGGGCCTCTGTTTACTCGTCGACTTAAAACAGTTAGACCACGCTAAGGGAAAGCTCGTATTTGGACTCGCTCGTTGACTTCAATAGTTTCGAAGACTGAATTTTAATTCCCTTACCACGACCCTCCTACCTTTCTTGTTCTTTAACTCTCTGGTTCTCTTTGATTGTGGGATTTCTACGGCGTGTGCCGTCTTTGGACCGACATTCTTTATAGATTTTTAAGGTAGATCAATTTTGAATAAAAATTCCTTGTTGATTAAAAATAATTTTGTTGAATTTTTGGAAATATAGTAAGTTTGATATTTTTCTTTTTCTTTAGACTTACCTTGGACATAGAAGCGCCCAATCCAGCTTGACACGAACCCTGCCTGTGGTATCCCCAGAACCCTGAAACGGAAACACGCAATTATATCGTATCGTCCTTCGCTGCTCGAAACAGAGACATCATATCTCGGTCGTTTCGTTTGAACGGACCCTTGCCCACGTAACGGGTGCCCTCGATAATTGAGAACGTTCCTCGGGCCGACCCTTCGTAACAATTCACGCATAATTGCATTGGATAAATGAAAGATGATTCGGTAGCGATTTAACCTGTTGACCGAATGTCGTGTTCCTTAATCGTTCTGTCAGACGTTGAAGATTTATTTCATTTGTTTTATTATTGAAAGCACTCGGGAGAATAAATTGCACTCTTCAGCTTCTCAAATTCCAATCTATAAATTCCTCTGTAAATATTTTTAAAAATTCAAATCCACGCGCTCGACGCAGAGCCGGAGCTCAGTTGTTTCCAGTTTTTCAAACGTTTCGATCGAGGTTTGTGAATTTCTACGCGTTTATCGTCTCGTCTCGTTGGATGAAGTATAGAAGGAAACGAAACCCGCGCGATTTTATCCTTTAAAAGAGAAAAAGAAGGCGGAATTCCGCGATGGAACTTATGCTGATGTCAGCAAAGGTGAAACATTTAACGCGCGCATTCGCAGACGTCTTGTACCGTGACACGGAGGTCGTATGTCGAGTTATCGACTAGGAAGTCGAGTTAGGCATCGCTTTAAAGGCCTATCGCCACGCACTCTTGCACATGTTCGAAAGGAATACGTGTATGCATCATTAATCCTGGATCGATCTTGCACCGTGACGCATTCGCGATTCGTTTGCCTCGATTCGAACTATCGATCCATCGGTTCCCCGTTCGAGGCTCTCGTACGGTTTCCGAGAAACTGCCTCGAGCTTCTCCTACTTCGAATAAACTTGGATTCGATTAAAATCAAACTTACCCGCGGGCAAACCTTCGGGTAATAATAATCGAACGCGATTGGAAAATTTTAAGAAATTCAATTTTGAAAAATTTAATTTTTAATAAAACTCCTAGGATTGTTTTTGCGCTCGACGGTACAATTTCATTTTCCACTGTTCTCCTTCTTTCCGCGTGACGGAGACAGCCCCTGAAATTATTACTGGGAGCCCAAGGCGGCGAAGAAACGCGGATATTTCTACGATTGCAAAAGGGCATTCCTGCAGGCGGAAAGAGCAGATCACCGTGCTGAAGAACAGCTATAATAACCCCTCGGTTTTTCTCGGCGACACGTAATTGCCGCCACGGCACGTGAAATAGCGTATCAGTGGCGGATAAAACGGTCTCTGTCAAACTCGTACGTACAAAGCCGAGCGGCTCGAACTGGTTCAGGTTGGCTGAAAAAAACGGGAAATTATAGGAAATCTCCGGGCAAACCGGGAACTGCGAGAAAAATCGTCATCGCAGGAACAACGCGCGAAACGCACCGATTGAGAACGAGAGAAATTGATAACCGTGGAAAAAAAGTCCGTCGTGTTCGATGAATTATTTATTGATCGAAGATGGAATACAATGCACTTGGCTGCCGTGACTGTTTTACGGATTAATCTGGATGGGAAACGTGGAGGAACGAGCTACTTTGATGATAATCTACAATGTCGAAGAAACTTGTACGAAACGGTGTAGCTAAAATTCTAAACTATTTTTTATTTCACCACACGACGTGTGTGTCAAACGCAAGTGTTAAACAGAAAGTACACTAGGAATAAAAGTATCAAAGAAAAATTAAAAAATAGAAAACACGAGAATCGCATTTACTTTTATGACAGTTAAAGTTGACGGAAACGATGTAACGCGGTCGTAAATTAACCGTTTGAATACTAAGATGGGCCATAAAATTATAAGACTAAAGTGTCAAGTAATACAGCAGACTCACTCTCAATCAAATTACAGAGATATTCCAGCACTTCGTAATAATAAAAAATAAAACTGATCAACAGTACCGCTGCTAATATTTTTTATTAATTGCCGGGTTAGGCTTATTAATAACCCGATGAATAATAATAAAATACTAGAATTGGCACGCAAGGTGGATCGCACAGTTGCTGCCGGAAAGATTAATCTCGCTCTGACACTTGGCATTAACATCAATAAGCTCCGCACACCCGTCAAAGCTCTGCCAACGTAATCGCAACGAGTTGCTGCCATTAACCGACAATCAGCCATTATCAGTGAGCACGAACAACAAAACCCCCGTTTGCTATTCCACGGCGGATTCACCATTAGCTCATCAAGGTTACGTCCGATAATAACTTGCCATCATTAATCGCAATTTATGGATTATCAATGGAGAAGACACGTTTGAGAGGTTGAGTCAGTGATGTCTCATCTGATCCAGATTTCTTCAACTTTTACTAAAATATATTTCTTAATCAACATTTCAATCGATGATTATTCAAACACCACAGTGTTTTCCATAGTTTCATCTAAATTTAGTTCACTATGAATGAACGATGCAATCAGTGAATTAAATATTAATTATTGGCTGGTTACAGCAACAGATTAATCACGAGTCAGTGAACCTTTGCCTTGTTTTATTGCCTCAGATTTCCGTAGCCAAACAGACGATATCGATTGACTGACAATATTCCTATTCAATTGTATGAAACTCTTTATTCTCTTCTTTTATTTTTCACCTAATTGCAACCTCATTCGAAGCTGTACATTAAAATTAATTGGGATCGGTAATTATCCTCTTTCTTATTACTCGATACATCGTTACGGTGTTAAAAACTGTCTAAGCTGTTGGTAAAGTGGCGTACAATGTCAGTCAGCGTCGTTCGAACAGAGTTCGTGAACTGCGAGATCTGTGGTGTGCAAGCCAGTAAGAAAACAACATGTGTATGGGAGAATATCCGGTGGGATCCCCATACACCAGGAGCATGCCTTCTTCTACATGGCCACGTACCACGTACATACGTTATGAGCACGACGAAGGGGTCCCTGACGGTCGATCGGTCACTTTGGACGAGCTGCCAGTCACGCAATTATATACATCAATCGGTCGTTGACGACGATCCAGCCGTGTCGAGCAAGGAAAAAAGGAGTCTCGAAGCCCGCCATCGATTGGCGCCGCCGTTTTCTTCGCGTGCATGCGAATGCGATCTCAGTCGGGAGAAAACTTTTTCGCGCGATTACCATTCCACCCGATTTCCCTTTCACGCCAAACTCGAAGGCGTTTTCAAACTTTCTATCCCATCAAAAAATAATTATTAAAAGGGGTGAGTTATCGAAGGGTAAATTGAAGAAAATTGCAAAGTACGTTTTCCCAGGAAAATGGCACCACTGGATTTTCATGTCATTGACATTTGCGAATACTCGATTTGCATTGCTGCTTTGTTTAGAATCCAAGCACGGTTCGTGCTTCGAGCCACCGCTCGATGTGGAGTTTATTTTCAGCTTAGGGTTTTCCATTTTTAACAAGGGAAAGCTATAACGCGCGAGACGACAAAGGGCAGGTTCGATTAGATAATATCGCCGTCGGTCGATCTATTTATAATCCTTCGTGTCTCGATGCCTTGCAAGGGTGCTATTCTTGTCAGTAAGAGAGTGCTCTGCACTTGGATCCGCGACAAGTGCCACCAAAGTGTTTTCGTACTGAAAGTGCTGTTGAAAGTAAGCAAACGAACGCTGCTTTCAGACCCTGCTGCAAACAATTGCATCCTTCTTTCGAATCGCATACACGAGCTGCTTGAAAATCGCACTTTGTCGGAGACGTTCAAAAATATTTCATATAATATGATTAATTGTTCGAAAATGATTTTGGATTTGATTTCGAAGAATGAAATTAGAATGCTACGGTGAATACATTCGCGATCTTCATGTGATAGTTAATGCAATGAATGGAGCTACTGTGGTTCTGATTCCATGTAAACGTCCAAGTGTATCGACGAGGGAATACTCTCTTTATCGAACCTATATTTTCGGTGGAAAATTTGAAAATTATTAGTCAATGTTTATTGCAATACTTGAAGTGTGCCAAAGAAAAAGCTGCGAAAACAATTTCACTTTCCTCGTCAAATTCATTGCCACAGAAAATATGTGCTGATCCTGAAGAACCTTGCAAGAACGAGGTCGGCAGAGAAGAAATTAAGTTTATTTCGCCGGAGCAATTTCAAACGCGTTGAACGCGCTCGAAGCAATAAAATTGCAATAAAGTTGGATCGTTCTGATTGCGACAAAGAATTCAAGATCTTGCCACCAGCATTCTTGCCCCTAATACTTTGCTCCGAGATAAGACATTCGTTATTTTAATTGACCCCCGCATAAAGGGAAATTTTCTAAACAATTCGTGGTGAGGAGGAGATAGAGGAATGGATCGGTAGCGCGATCGTAATTCAAGCAGGATCAAGTGTTAATTGGCCTTGTTAGAACGGTGCTGAGGCCCGAGGCAATGGCGCCTTCTAATTAGAATTTTTTCTCAGACCGCTTTGACGAGTGGGCGGCTTTCATCGAGGAATGCAGTTACTGCAATTCATTGCAACTTTCACCCAACGTCGATGCTTCTGCCACTTGTCGCCATTCTGAAATGCGACAATTTATCTTTTGATTGTTGTCTAACTAACAATGATTCGTTTATCGGCATGATTTAGGAAATATTCCGAAGAAGACTGCTTCGTTTTAACCCTTTATGGTGGACATTAAAGACAGGCTACTTTCTCGGCGCAACGTAAACAATTTTAGTTCCATACCAAATTTAGATAAAATCGTAGTTCGTTTAAAAGGAAGTACCAGAGAACTGGATACCGTAATAACAGACCGATTTCCGTGGAATCGCGATCTCAAGAAGGATGGATCGGACACGTTCTGCTCTGTAATCACTGCCTTAACACGTCGAAGGAAACGTACTTATAGACGAGTGTGAATCATAAATGTCGTGCATGCTTCTGCAAGACCTACGTCGTGGCTCTAAAAGCTCTTTTTAGTAGCGCTCGAACGTCCTCGTTTTTTCTCCTTCCAGTACACTTAACACTTTGCAGACCATTAGTCGATTGCTCCATTTTCGAAGTACAGTGTATCGAACGGAAAATCAATAAATAAAAAGTAAAGGAAAAGAAATAAAATTTCTCTAAGTAAATGAATATTAATTCCAAACCTAATGCGATATCCCAAAAATATTTTAAATTGTAATTAGCATATTTTGGAACGGTGGGTATTTGAACACCTCGCTGCAAAAATGTGATAATTGCATATTTATGCTGACATAGGTGTTACTGGGAGTACTCTACCACGAGCGGAAACGTACACGTGAGCAAATGTACGGAAATAAAAATTACGTAGTCTCAGATGTTTGTGAACGTCTGTCTTGCAAGTGAAACACGAACGAACAATGGGACAGAAAATAATACCAAGATCTTACTTTAAAAACAAATATATGTAAAATATTACATTCTAAATAAAATAATTAAAAAATGTGTTAAAATTAAACTTGGCAATGAAAAACGAATGAGAAAGATTCCAGCTTCTGAAGATTCTCTCGTAATAAGACGACCCTGTCCTCGAATTGGTTAATGGAATGGCTGCAAATACGCAGCTGCGAGAGAGGACAAGGAGAATGATACCTATGACATTGTAAACGCCGACAAATGGGAGACGCAGACGGATAAGAGCGGGCAGAAAGAACGAGCGGAGCAATTCTTGTCCAGAAAAGGCAGCAATGGAACAACGAGCGATAGCTAAGAGAAACGACGTTACACGACCACCAGGACGTGATCATAAGCGATCTAGAGCTAAAAACGCGCTACGATTCTCGAGAAAAGCGACAGCAAAGCGGTTCGTTCGCTTCGCTCCTACAAATTGTTTAATTGCTTGCTCTTGCCGAGGAATTTCTGGACGATGAGCTCACACGTCGACGATTCTCCACATTTCCGCGTGGATATTAACGTTTTTATTTTAGAAAATTATCAATTTGATCATCTGCATTGCAATAAATTGAAAGCCCATTGTTATTATCCGAAAAGCATTTTTCTGCTCGCGGAAGATGATCGTCCGGAATGACTTCCGAAACATCCGAACTATGTGGGAGGCAAGATACCGGGTAGACATAAATAACTTCCGAAATCTGCGCTCAGTGATAACCGACAGATAATAGAAAAATGCAGCGCGTTTCGAGGTAGCTTATCTTTAGACAATGGTACTGCACGAATATTATCGCGGAGAACAGAAGAAAGTGCATTCCTAGCGATGCACTTGGACCACCGAAGATTGCCTACTCTTTTTCTGTGGAAAAAAGCCACCGCCTAGGCTAGAAACAAGCCACTTGAACACAGTGTTCTTTGTATCACCGTGAAACAAGCAACCGTGTAGCTGGAAAATCGATACGTCTTTTGTCATTAAAACGCCATGGCAGAGCTGCACGAGCGACAGGAAATATCCTGTTACCGAGCGTATTTATGGTGGCCATGGTTCGAGGACACGACCACATGTCGCCTCGAATCCTTGTCCTCGTTGGAGGAAATTCGTCCCGTGGGATTCCTCAAAGGACGAACGATTTACCTCTCGAGAAGAAGGAACTTGCTGCTCTTGAAGAAACAGCCGAGTGACAACCGACTTCTTGGATTCAGGATGCTGTTTGTAACTGTTTATAGTAGCGGACTGAGCACAGTCACAAAAGTGTTTCCCTGACTTCCTTTTTTTTTTTTATAAACCGAGCTAAATCGGGAACGAGAGCGAGGCGTACTCCATAAATTTTGGAAGCACGATTCGATTCAAGTGGCGAAGATACAGAAGCTCGAGAAGTGGTTGAAAAATTATGGATTTCTACTGGTTCAGGGACGCTTTATTTATGTGTTGTGTCTTTTTTTCAAGTGGGATATGAAAGTTAATTTCAAGTGTATTTTGAGAACAGCTGGAGGAGAATTTGAGGAACAATAATTAAATTTCTCTGGGAGTCAAAGTTACTAAGAATTAACGTAAAAATACTCACTCGTTCGGCAGGGCGAAAATTCCTGCGATTCGTTGAAATTGTTGGTAACGACCCAGCAGGTGCCAACGGGTTCCCGTCGATTTCCTACGGTGGATTCCTTGTTCCATCGATTGTCATCGGTATCGTGCTTCGGCTGGGACACGGAGAACCAGATGTACCTTGGCGCGCACGCCTGTAACCATAAAACAGAGAACGTTTAACGTCGCTCACCTCTCATCATCAATGTATTGTTAATCACTGCTCCATCGCAATTACATCTAACGACCATCTTGCCGACTCGTTAAGCGAACTTTCTGCTAACCGGCAAATACATCCTTACCGATTGAAATTGTAACATACATGGTACAACATTTATGTGACGAGAGGATATCAAATTTGTGGCAATTGCTGATTAAAAAATATGATTGTTTCCATTAAAATCATTGGTGTTGAATATTTATTTGCTGAATTTATTAATGTATAAGTTGAACAAAACGAAATGCTGTTCCCAGCTTGAAGGATTACAGAGAACTGACTGGAACTCGGAAAAAGCGCATGGGACACTCAGGAGGTGCAATAAAAAAATGTCCTCCTCAGGTAATGCTGACTTTTACAGAGAGGGGTTGCACCAGCGAACGCAAATTTTCCGACCATTAGAAATATTCTCAACAATTGGAAACGATGAAAAATGATTAATGGAAAATTCAAGGAAAAGAGGCTGGTGATTTCAATGCTTTTAGCTGCATTTAAATGTTTAGAGAGAGCCACTTAGAGGGGCTAAAAGTGACTGCTTCTGGAGAATGTTTCCAGTGATTAGAAGGGTACTTCGTTTCTACAAATGTATACCAGTGTAATTTTTAAATAAAGAAACACCGTAACGCAAACATTGTGTCATCTGTTTTCCGCGAACCGGTCGAGTTAATTCGTATTTTTGGCAATGTCCTCGCGGTTAGAACCGTTCGCTTCGTGCCTCTGTTCCCGGGACAAGGTTCTCTCACAATAATCGGTAGATTACGTCAATCATCTGTACTTGACCAGAGAAGCAACAGCAGCTGATGACCTTAATAACGCTACATCGTATAAATATACATATGTAACGACGCACTTCGTGTCGTTCGTCGACGGGAATTGCAATCGGGAAGGATTTCCTCGAAACTCGTTACGTGTCGCTCGTTACAAGGCGTGGTGAACGTTAAAGCGGTAAATTAAATTAATTACGAAATATAAGGACATTTTGACGACGTTGCCGAGATTAGCGGCGCGTCAATCCTCGTCGGATTAAATATGGTAATCAACGGTGGCAGTGATCGTTATCTTTTCATTAATCATTTTCATTTTTCATCCGTTTCAAATGAAATATCGTAATAAATTTAATGAGCATCTGGTCGAGGTACTTACTAACTTCCTCTTGATATTCATTCTGGACGACAAATAAATTTAAAATCAGATTAATATAATTAAGGGTAATTTAAGATAGGTCAGAACTGTTATTAGTACCAATCACTGTTTATTAACCTTAATAAAAATAATGATTACCTATCCACCGTTGCAAATTACAATATCAAAGTTTAGTTACTCTTAATGCTTACGTATCTAAGGCTTCATTGAACGCAGAAGACCTTAGCAACTGCTAACTGGTGGCTACCAATTTGAACAGTGTTGTAAATCAAAGGCAAAAGGGAACAAGAGGCAAGTTTAACTGCGCGTACATGCAGATTTAAGAGAGAACAAACGCCAGCGAACGCGGTGGACGTGGCCAGGTAACATTTTAATCGCTTTCCAAGGCTTGCCCCGTGTAAACGAGCCCTAACGAGCCGGACGCTGATTCCCCATGCAGGAGGATCGTGTGTTACAGCTGAACCGGTGCACGCAACGTTTTTAATTAATTGCGAGCCAATTAAGCGGCGTTACAACGTTACATGCTTCCACCATGCGAATCGGGATGCTAGCCCAGCGTTAATCGAAAATTAAACGAGCAAAGTCGATTAAGACGTTACTGATCATCAACGGGAACCTATTCCTTTATTTTAACGCTCAGACGATTCTTGATGCGAATCTAAAATTATACGTTACAGAGTTTTGTAATTAACGCCAGGATATGAAGATGGAACATTTGTTTTCTAACACTCAATTTTTAATGATGTACGATTAGTATATTTAAAATTGAAACGAAGGAAATAAAATAGTAAAACAGCCAGCAGGAACGAGGAACACGAAAAAAGATGAACCATGTCGACGTGTACCGCAATTTATCCATTGCGCCAGTTTAGCTCAATCGTTCAAGGATCACTGTCTAGAATTACGCGTGTGACTCTTTCGAAATGGAAAGGGTTCTGCTGACAAGCATCGAATCAAGCTTATTGCAACGCTGAATTGAGTTACCAAACCAGCGTTATAAACTTTACCCATAAAACTGTGTAGCAACGAAAATGTTTCAACAAGAAACCATCAGGAAAGAAAAGAAAAGAGGAAGATCCACAAATTATTAACTAATGATTTCAACCCTCCTTAGTAATAACTAATATTTGTGGGGTTAATTTGTGGATCTTCATTCTCTCTCCTTTTCTTTCCTGAATACAGAATATTTTCCGTAACAGCACCAAAGGGAAGAAAAAATTTTGATGGATCCTTACCCACCAAACAGAAGTACAATAAACAAGGAAGAAAATAAACGTACCGATGAACCAGCTGCTAAAACGATCCAGAGGGGATAAAAAAAGTAGGGCCGAAAATAAATGTATAATGGGGCTGGACAGCAGCTAAGAAATACAAGAATGAGTTTGGTCATCGTACGTTCGAAATAAAGCGGTCTTCAGTAAACCCTTTTGAATGTGGCTCGTTCAATCGAGCACTCGACGAGGAAAGAGAAGGAGGCGCAAATCAAGAGGGAAGTCTGGATTATCACGATTACAGCTGCTCGAACAGCACCGCGAAGAGGAATATCGATCTTGCCACCTTGACACGAGCCTGCAGATGTATCTTGATCGCGATACGCGGCCGAGAATCGACAGCTGATCGACGCGTGGACGATGATCGCGCACGATGAAAAAGCAGATCATCAGTAAGATTTCGACGAAGGTACCTTCTTTTTTTCAGGGATTAAACGTGACAATGTAAAAGGGAGCTGCTGCGAGGGTGGTTGAAAGATCGCTGACGAGTCACGAAGGTGAGAATCTCGAAAGAATGATCGTAATCCTCGTTTCCTTCTAGTCGTCGGCGAAATTAATCATTTAGACCTGTCGTTCAAAAGTGGAAAGTTATGAATTGCACCACGCGTGGTACTTAGCCAATGCAATTTGCTCGTCATCAGAAAGCCCGGAAGACGTTGAACACTTTAAAGCCGGCTAATGACACGTTTCCAACGCGGTTTTCACGACCGTGAGCAACGGAACCGTTGCACTCGAGCCACCGAAAGCCAGGTCGTCCCCTCTAATTAAGAGGAGGAGGGTGAAAGAAAGGAATAATAATTCGAACGATGCCCGTGATTCTTCGAGCGTGATTGCACCGGCTGTATCTTCGTTCGCTCTTCATTAAAAGGACCACTCGAGAGAACTTCGAGCCGACTAATGGCACGGTTCCTTTAATGTCTTCAGCCGGCCACTTCGCGGCCTTTCAACGCGAGTATGGTACAATTTCGTTCCTTTTTTTTTCTCTTTCGTTCCTTTCATACGTGTCCAGCAAGAATAACAAGTATATTAATTGAGCTTTTATTCAATTTCGTTGGTAATCGTTATTTTCTAAGGTACTTCTGTAAATTGGAATAATTTTATGCAAATTTCTATCATACATCATCGAGGAATTAATTTATGTTGAAAACACCCTTTGGTATCCATTTCTTGGCACGAAAATCCCATAAAACAGTCATATTTTTACTCTCATCTTTGAAAAACGTTTTACCTCGAGGACGAAAGGAAAGAAATAAAAGCGTAATCTTATGCTGGGAAAATACTACCATAGAATACTAAAATAAGGACGTTGGTTGCAGAAGACATTAAGTATCCCACTTGAGCGTTTTATAAGCGATTAAAGAGAGTTAAGATCTACTTAAGAACGATAATCCGGAAGGAATGAAAATGAAGAAAATAGAATCCTAGAAAAATCTTCAGGTTTATAGACCGTACAAAAAAAATGATTTACCATTCGGTCATATTTGTATCAGTATTCGTGGTGAGTGTGACTATCGTGCCATCCGTTTTCCAAGGGTTAAAATGGGTTCTTTTATGGACTCTAAAAAATGTATCCTTTCACTGAACATTCTAATTGTATTCTTATCATAGGGAGATAAATAATATCTTAATATGGCGAAGGATAGAAAAGAGCTTATCTGGAAGAGTATAAAATACTCTAACTAGCAACAGGAATTTTTTATTTTTCATTTATTTTCATAAATTGAAACAAAAATATTAAAGGTCTTCTTTTGAAAAGTATTATTTTCCAAATTTTCTACTTTTTCTCGTCAAATTAAGTAAATCAATATTTTTCTATGTTCAGAATAAAAAAGAATTAATTGCCAGAAAATTTCCTACAAACAACCCCGTACTATTGTGGGAGGTACGAAGCTTTTACGATATTCCGTCGAACTTTACGAGGGAGCGATTGGACTCGGGCCAACAAAAGTGGCCTACCGTAAACCCTTTCCGTGTTTGACCTTTATTGTTCGAAACGTGTAACGCACGTGTGCACGCAGGAAATTCCCGTGCTCACGCTGACAAGCGCCGCTATTACAAGAGAATCGTATCTTTCACGTTGGAAACGGGACTGTAAATTAAAACAATGTACCACTATTTTATCCGTCGCAATATTCCCTGCAATACTTAATGCGTTTCCATTGTAAAGCGGCTCGGAGAACACGGTCCCGTTGAAAGCTCGTCCAAGATCGGCTGGAAAATATGAATTCCTTTATCGAGTTTGTTTCTTCTTTCCGTTGGACAATTTATTTTTTTTTTCTTCTCGTGTCCGCTCTTTTCTGTCAGTCGATAAATTTTTCGGGGAAAAAATGGTCAACTCGGTGGTTTCACGAGAGAACGAACAGGCAGGCGTGAGTTATTTTCGAGCCGTGAATGAGGTCATCTCGGGTCGGCTGCGCCCAGACCTAACCACCGAGGATAAATCGGTCGTATTTTCGAACAGTCGATACGGGAACGGCTTCCGTGGAATCGACGTCGATTTTCGTGGAAGCGGTAGCCCCATTTT